AGGGGGGGATTATTGGGCTAGCTTGTCAGGCCTTGTCCTGTAGAGTAGGGATCTTGTTCTACCTTTACTGTTAGTTCCTTAGGTATATTCTTCTGGCCATAGTGGCCAGAACATTCCCACTGGCCCTTTGGGGAGATCAAATCCTTGATTCCTCTTCTTCTGAACCTACAATGTGCTGGTACTGGGTATGGAGAACTATGAGTTTTACTGCCTGAATCCTTTCCTGCACAAAATTGAGTAGGTATCTAGTGAAGCATGGCCTAAAAATCAAGAATAATATAAGGAGTACTAATGGACCAGTGACTGCTGAAAGGAGAGTAGTTAACCATGGGACCAGTTGAACAAGTTCTCAAAACAGTTTTCTCCGTCCCTACACCTTTCCTCCTGATCTAGGGGTCGCTTCCTTAGCTGGCTTAAACTCTCCTTTATGACACCAGAGTGATTGGTGTAGAAACAGCAGGTCTCACCCAGCGCTAGACAGAGCCCTCCCTCTCTAGAGTAATAATACACCTGAGGTAAAATATGGGTTAGGATGCTTATGCCAGGATGGTATATAGACTGTAGGGCAGGAGGGAAAACGCAGGGGGCCCAACCGTTATTATATGCCTACCAAGTACCTTCTGGGGCAACTAGGTAAACAAGGGTCCCGTCATCATCAGTATAGTTTAACAGGGAAAGTAAAGGCCTGGGCACAGGACTGGGCATAGGGCGAAGAATGAAGGGGGAAATTCTCTGGATATATACAAGCCCCTGCTCCTTGGAGGTCCTCTAAGGTAAGTTGAGGCTTATGTCCCCAGGTACACAATCCTGGGGATAGAGTGCTCGTTACAGAGTGGTTACAAATTTGTGAGCTCTCCTGTCCTATGGAGATATTAGCCCTAAGGCCAATATAGTGGGGAGGTTCAGGGTTTAGGCATAACCAACAATCCTGGGTTATATTTGGGGGAGTCTTATTCAAAAGTATAAACACAGCCTTTAGAGTCCTCATGAGTCCACGGTGTGGGAGCTCCAGGGGCGGCGGTGAGGTGTCCTCTGGAGCCCTCGGTGCCGCATCCCCTCCGGCACCGGGGTCGCTGTGCGATCCCTCAGTCCTGGTGTGGAGACGTTGCCCAGCCCAGGTCTCCAGGGGAACAGGCGGATTCGGGGCCTGTGTCTGAAGGGTGGCCCTCTTGGTATCTGCCTCGCACGATGCTCCTCGCTGAGGCAGAGCTAGTCTGGGTGCCTGCAGGGCTCTGAGGAGATGGTTAGAGGACTTTGCCATTTCCTCTTCCCTCAACCGGGAAGGAGTGGCGGTGGCCGGCAGAACATAATCTCAAAAGGAGTTAGCCCCTTAACATATGGGGTACAGCGAGCCCTGAGAAGGGCGAAGGGGAGGAGACTTACCCAGTTTTCGCCAGTCTCCAACTTTAGTTTAGCCAGTGTTTCCTTTAAAGTCCGATTCATCTTTCTACCTGCCCTGAGCTTTGTGGTCCGTAAACAATGTAATTTCCACTTAATCCCAAGAGCCCTTGCTAACAATCGGGTCATCTCAGCGATGAGCGCCGGGCCATTGTCGGACCCCGTGTACAACGGCAGGCCAAAGCGGGGGAGAACTTCAGAGAGGAGTTTCCTAGGTACTATTTGTGCCGTTTCAGTTTTGGTCGGATATGCCTCTGGCCAGCCCGAGAAGGTGTTAACAAATACTAGGAGGTAAGTAGCCCCCTTTCCCTCCAGGGATCTCGGTGAAATCTACCCCAGTGCTCTCCCGGTTCGGTGCCCCGAAACCGGATCCCAGGAGGGGCCGACACCGGGGGCCCTGGATTTACTCGCCCACAAGTCTGGCGGCGCCTGGCGATGTCTTTGGCCACCTTGTGCAGTCCCGGGGTGTAGTATTCTCTCCCTAAGAGCTCTACCATCTTCGTTCCTCCTCTCGTCAAGCTGGGTGGCTACTTTCTGCTTTTCCGGGGAATACGTGGGGCCTGACTCTAAAGTTCATGCCGGCAGGGTCACCAAAATTTCTAGAGGCCCCACTGGTCTTTTTGCCACCTCGTGGGCCGTCTGGTCCGCGCACCGGTCCCCCTCACGGTGGGGGAGTCGTCTTTCGGGTGTCCTCTGCAGTGCATTACAACTACCTCTGTGGGGCCCCAAGTGGCTGTCAAGAGGCTTAGGATTTCCCGGCCATTCTTTATGTTCTTCCCCGCCGAGGGTAAAAGCCCTCTCTCCTTACAGAGAGCCCCATGGATGTGCACAGTGGCTAAAGCACACCTGCCGTCCGTGTAAATGTCAACCCTCTTGTTTCTTCCCCGCCTCGGGGCCTGGGTGAGGGCTGTAAGCTCAGCCTTCTGTGCTGACGTCCCCCGGCCGAGGGCCTGAGCCCAGAGCACCTCCTTCTGGGTGACCACTGTGGCCCCTGCATACCGGACACCTTGTTCATGGAAACTGCTGCCATCCGTGAGCAGAGTTTCGTCCGGGCTGGCAAGGGGCTGCTCAGTCAGACCTGCCCGCAGGAAGTCAGGGCTGTCAAGGTTTCCTCATAGTCATGCAACGGCTCCGTTCCCCCGGTCCCGTCCTCGGGAAGGAGAGTGGCAGGGTTTAGGGCCACCATCCTCAGGAAAGTCACTCTGGGGGTGTCTAGCAGTTGCACT